GCTCCCAGTGTCCCCTCTGCTACTGGAAAAAGGGTTTTTAATGCCTCTACATCTAATCCTGTTAGAGAATCTATTCTAGGTGACCCAGAACCAGTACAGAGAAACCATCCCTAAGGTTCTTCTTGCTCTACTTTCAGCACCAAATTCTGGAGTTCAGTCCATCCTACAAGCAAATTCACTAGAGCAATTATGGGAGCGGATTCAACAGTCTATTTGAGGCTGTTGTTTTGTGTCTGGTGCTGGAGCCTTGTATTAGCCAGGGTTCTGCAGAGAAACAGAACCAATAGAATACATATCTATTATATATCTCTAATATATTTATATAAATATAAGAGATTTATTATGTGTATTATAAAGAATTGGCTTACATGATTTTGGGGTCTAACAAATCCCACAATCTACCACCTGTAAGCTGGAGACTCAGGAGGGCCGGTGGTGTAGTTCTAGCCTGAATCCGAAGACCTCAGAACCAGGAGCACATACCATGCAAGTCCCAGTCCAAGGGCAGGAGAAGATCATGTTCCAGCTCAGTGGTCAGGCAGACAGCGACTTCTCCCTTCCTCTGACTTTGTTTAATTCAGGCCCTCAATGGATTAGATGACGTCCGCCCACGTTGGGAAGGGCCATCTGCTTTACTAAGTCTACTGACTTAAATGCTAATTTCTTCTGGAAACCCCCTCACAGATACACCCAGAAATAATGTTTAACCAGATATTTGAGCATCCCATGACCCGTCCAAGTGGACACTTACACAATTAACCATCCCACCTTCAAGTCCACAGAAAAGGCAGCTGAGAAGAAAAGATGGATGTCAAGAGTGGAAGCAAGAGCAAAGTAGATCCCTGGAAGAAGGACTGGAACCCAGGAGGATGAACTGGACTCCTGTCAGTCTCTGGCTTTCTCCAAGCCAAAGCAGAGTTCAGCAGGGGTGGGAGACGCCGTGGGCACGCTGCTGCCCCTCGCCACAGTGTAGGCCAGCAGATAGGAGTCAAAGAGGCACAATAGTGCCTGGTTCTTTACAGGGACCTTCCGCAGAGAGAATATGGCTGCCGCTTCACTTCTGCCTTTTAAATCTCATGCAAATTCTCTCTTGTGGGGAACCCTAACCTGGAGTTAGGCAAGCAAATGTCCTTTCAGCTTAGCTAAATTGACACAATATAAATTCACTGTACATTTTTTAAAGGCCTTGCTCTATGCCAGGTCCTATTTGAGCAGGGAGAAAGATGTCTAAGACAGGCACTGCCCCCATAGAGTTAGTTAATAGCTTGGGCTGTGGGGAGATGCTAAGAAGCAGAGAAATACTTGTGGTAAATGGAAAATCAATACCACCTTGCTTTGGTCATTCCGACAGGGAAATCACAGGACTAGTTCTGAGAGAGGCAGTTTAGACAAGGCAACTTTTTAGTTGTCTACTAACTTATTCGTGTATGTGCCATGTTTTACTTACAATCTAAGGTCTTATTCACCAGAATGAATATTTATTCTGCATTTTATAGCTTATCTGTGTCTTTAATCACTGTGAGGCTGTTAGCTGTTTCTTCTTGTTGCTAGGACAGGGACCTCTAACCTCTACATCTCTTCCCTTCCCATCATCATCTCCTTATAACTTTTTGGTTCTAATGTGCTTTTTTTAGAATTGTGTCTGCAAAGGCTTGAAGCCAGGGCCTGGCCAGAGGGCCAAATTTCTAACCCTCATTTATTTCTGAGCACATGAACTTTCTTATGGAAACCCACTGAGCAACACTAACAAGTAAACAATATTATTGCAATCTTGCACTAACTAATTTTATGGCATCATTCAATCTAACTTGATATTTCTCAGTTTTTCTCTCTAAAAAGTAGGAATTAACCTGGGTTATCGCTAATATTCCTCTCAATCATAATATCCTATGAGTCTACGATTCTTCTACTGTAAGGACTGGAACTAAATCCAACAGAGAAGGAACTGGTAGACATTAACAGAAATTATGTTAAGTTTCAGAATGCCTTGTTATGCTGGTTGTATAGAGTCATGGATATCTGTAAAAATGGGTAGATTGTTACCTACCTAGAGTTACACAGAGCTAGTATTACTGGGCAACGACCTGCTGCCTGGCATGTGTAGAAGCCAACACGGTGGTACCAGATTTTGAGAAAAGAAAGAGCTTTATTGCATAGCTGACCAGCAAGGAGACAGGAGGCAAAGCTCAAATCCATCTGGCTGAGATGAATCGGGGATAGAGTTTTAAGGAGTTGGGGGTGGGAGTGGTTATGCAAAATGCTAGCTTGGAGGAATCTTTTTGGATGGCAGGAGCGTAAGGGTCTTATAAGTCCTGTGTACTACAAATCAAGGGACCCCTTCATGTCTTGTGAGGTACCCCGAGCCACTTTCTCATCACACTGAGTTCTGTAGTTAGGCGACTTTTGGTTCCTAGGCAGCTCAAGGTCATCTAAGGACAAGGTTACCATCTTTGGCACATGCTCCAGCTACATGACTTGCAGTTTTTGCTAGCTGCCCCTGCAAAGATAACTTTGATATTTTGTTATTGATACAATAGGGCCGGCCAGCACAAGTTAGTCTATGATGGTTACACTACAATGGAATAGATGACCATATGCTTATGATTAAATTATTTAATTACTCTTACTTGGTGGAGTTCTCCCATACACACAACCCACACACATACACACTCTCACACATACTCCACACATAGCAGATGTGATAAAGCTTCCTCTGAGCTACCCGATAGCCACATCTGCATAGAATCTATGGCTTAATTTTTTTCCTGCAAACACTTGTAAAATGAGATTAGTTCAAAGAAAATTAAACTAATGATTTAACTAATGTAGTTACTTGAACAAAAAAGAAGCATAATTATTATAAAATAAATGAAGCAGAGAGTTCAAGCCGTGAAAGAAATCTATGACATCATTCATGATCTTATATTTAAGCACTTTTGAAAGTAAATACATATAAGATCAGTTTGTCTTCATGACATTCTGGGTAAAAATGTACCATTTTGATGAGAATTTAATTTGTAGCTGAATTTCATACGTTATACATATTTTTAAAGTATTAGATATTTTGAGTCAAATATGTATTAAAATATGCCCACTTTGGAATTTAAATATCTCATTGGTAATTGAAATTGGTCTGTGGGAAAAATCAATTTGTTTTTCTTGCTTCAATTTGGCCTAGGATAACCAATTTTCATACGTTGTTTTTATGACAATTTATCTGAAATTCCTGCTTACATGGCAAAACCTTGCCTTTTTTAGTCACTACTGCTATTTTCATTGACTTCTCTGCATGCTTTCTTGGGGGCGGGTGAATAAAATTAATCAAATAGGAACTTCAAGTGCAAAACCTATTTTACTTGAGATGTTGGTAGACGACAATTTAATTTATTTCATCCATCGTTTCAGCAAAAGTCTCAAGTGGGTACTATTCAGGAAAACAATATGAGGAAGACACAATCTCAGAGGACCACAGTACAGAAATATAGGGAAGCCAAGTTCACACACAAATATAATGAAAGGCAAAACATATGGTCACTATGCCTGGAATATTCCTCCCCACCTCTGTGCAGCTCACCCCCTCCTCGCTGCCTCTCATTCTGTGCATACTCTTGTTGTACTTCTTTCTCTCTATTTTAATTTTGTTTTCTTTTTCTAAGATCGAGGATCATAAGATGCCTGTCTGTGCATTCCTGTTTCCCCAGCATCTATTATATGCACTTAATAAGTTTTTATTGAGTGGAATTTATTATTATTTAATCTAAGTTAAAAGTGGTATAAATAAAGTGATTTAGGAGTCTTCAAAAGAGGAAGTTCTTCCATGGGGTTGGGCAAATAAATAAAGTCTTCGGGTATTTCTATTTAAGATGGATTTGGGAAAATGGGTAGCATTTTAAAAGTTAGAGAGAGGAGCCATTCAAAGCAGGAGCAATAGTAAGCAACAAAGGCAAATGAGCCACGAAAGTAAAGAGTGCATTTGCCAAACATCTCATAAAATTTGACTAGAATTCTTTTTTTGTACTTTAAAATGTCTTATTATATTAATATAGAAAATTATCACTTAATTTGACTATTTGGGGTTTAATTTTTGTACCTTAAGTTCTTTATAAAATATAAAAGGATTTCTGCTGTTTCCTTTGGATCGAGGAAGGAGAGTTGTAGAATACCAACATTTATGGAGCACTTATCATCGGACAGATGCTGCTCAGCACCAGTTATAGATTGCCTCATTTAATCCTCACCATACCCCAACAAAGAAGATACTGTCATTGTCCCCATCTTCAAAGAGGAAACTGAAGTTAGTGAGATAATGTAACTTGCCCCAGTTAGACAGCTAGTAAGGGATGAAGCCAATGTTCTAACCTAGACAGCTGATGAACACCGGTTTTCAATTCTTTTGGGTATATACCTGGGAGTGGAATTGCTGGGTCCTGTGGTAATTCCATGTTTAACTTACTGAGGAATTGCCAAACTTTTCTCTGTTCCTTGAACTGACTACACCAATCACTGCCTGAGGGCCTTTGTGCATGCTGTCGCTTTTGACTCAGCTGATAATAGAACCCTTTTTTTCTTCAGTATTATGCAATGGACAAAGATCTATCACTCTCCAAGAACAGGAGTTAGAGGCCCATTTGAGAACTGTTGAAGAACTAGAAAGGGATAGAAAGCCTGGAACTTTGGGATGTCATAGTTGGCTTGAGAAATAACATGACGTGAGATTTCTCAGGTAATGTAGAAGCTTCCAGAACAAAAGATGTGATATGAGTATGCCTTGTTTGGGAGATGTGGGAATTTGTGAACAGTGGACTTGATTTAACAAGGGCAACAATGGGCTCGCTTCCTGGTGAAAATAGTCTCCACTTCATTTACAGTATGGTGGTCACTGCAATGTCGGATCATCTCACTTGTGGAAACAGCTATTTTAAAAATAACTGTGAAAGAAAACTCATGCAATTCATGAAAAATGGCATTAACCTGTAATTTTCTAAACCTTTCTCTCTTAGGAAATATATTTGTGGTGAGCCTAGCTGTTGCGGACCTGGTGGTGGCTGTTTATCCATACCCCTTGGTGCTGACATCTATATTTAACAACGGATGGAGCCTAGGATATCTGCACTGCCAAGTGAGTGGTTTCCTGATGGGCTTGAGTGTCATTGCCTCAGTATTCAACATCACTGGAATCGCCATTAACCGCTACTGCTACATCTGCCACAGTCTCAAGTATGACAAACTGTACAGTAACAAGAATTCCCTCTGCTACGTGTGCCTGATATGGATGTTGACCCTTGTGGCAATCATGCCCAACTTGCATATCGGAACCCTGCAGTATGACCCAAGGGTCTACTCCTGTACGTTCGCCCAGTCTGTCAGTTCAGCGTACACCATCGCGGTGGTGGTTTTCCATTTCATAGTTCCTATGATCATAGTCATCTTCTGTTACCTAAGGATCTGGATCCTGGTTCTTCAGGTCCGACGGAGGGTGAAACCTATCAACAAACCCAGACTGAAACCACAGGATTTCAGGAACTTTGTCACCATGTTTGTGGTTTTTGTACTTTTTGCCATTTGCTGGGCTCCTCTAAACTTTATTGGTCTCGCTGTGGCCTCAGACCCTGCCAGCATGGTTCCCAGGATCCCAGAGTGGTTGTTTGTGGCCAGTTACTATATGGCATATTTCAACAGCTGCCTCAACGCAATTGTATATGGACTGCTAAACCAAAATTTCAGGAAGGAATACAGAAGAATTATAGTTTCACTGTGTACGGCCAAGATGTTCTTTGTGGATAGCTCGAATGAGGTCGCAGACAGGATTAAATGCAAACCCTCTCCATTAATGATCAATAATAACCTATTAAAGGTGGACTCCGTTTAAAAAAGCAAAGAATTACCAGCAAGATATGCAAACTGCTCAGAGTCTTACTAATTTTCATGTTTGCTTCCCTTTGGACAGATGTCGAGAAAATAGAGTGGTTGAGAAAATTTAATACTCTTAAGAGGTTGCCTCTATAGTTTCTGAACTAATGTGATATTGGCCTTCTGAACAAGTCTGTAATTCTACTTATGAACAGAAATACAGAACATAGAGAGAGGTGTTAGTTAATTGAAGAATCTGGTTCAGGGATGGGGGGAGTTATTTTAAATAAAAATTCTGAATGTATTCAAGTGGAGAAAGAGTGTGCAAATGTTTCTTTTGTTGTAAATGAGTGCCACAAAGGTAGTAATTGCTTTTTTCCCTCCACTTTTTGTAGATTTCTAATAGGAAAACAAATGATGTGTTTTATTTATAAACGGGTAAGTAGAAAAAACGGGAAAGTAGATGAGTGACTCATTATACAATGAAAGTCTGAAAATAAATTAGTGAATAACTCAACCACAACCAGCACAAGGTTTTCAGTTGGCACTGTTAGCACTGGGCAGCTATAGTCAGGCTCATAAATGTCACTCTATTAAAAGTTGCGCATGCAACTAAAGTGCTAACTATAGGACAGAGCTCTTTTTCAGATGTCAATAACTACCGTATTTTAAAGCAATAGCTACACGTAAAACTCAATTCAACTTTATAGGACATTTGGCTTCTTCTTATTTTGTCACCAGATATCATGATTATTCACGTCACTGACCAGCTGTTTTTAATTGATCTCTGTTAATTTATCAAGTCATCAAATCTGCTCAGTTAACAATGACAAAGAATCAAAGAGCTCCAGATTCTTGGATACAGTGCTGAACGTGTTCTAGATTGATAGGCTATTTGGGCAAGGAAATATCTAAACCAGTTGTTCTTTTACAGATATCGCAAAACAATATTCTTTAATAATTCATTTCAGTATATGGTTTCATCTTTCATGTTGATGATCCTAGGGCATATGAATCGCCTCCACAGCTTTGAAGAGTAAGGAGATTATTTAGGTGTTGTGTTGTGTTTCAGTAATAATGAAATAATTCTACGTCCCTAAGAAACAGTACCTTTATTACGAGGACACATTTCTGTGTTCTGTTAGAGAAGGGCTAGGAGTAACATGTCCATTTCAAAACCAATTGATTATCGTTGCTTTTAGACATTAGATGTTGATCCTGTCTTTTTAAAAAAATTATTTTGTTGAGATCACATTGGCTTATAACACTGTGTACATTTCAAGTGTCTGATCCCGTCTTTTCTCGTGCTAACCTGGTGCCCTAATTTCTGATAGAACTCTTACTTTGCAGTAAGTGGTGCAAGCATATCTGGTTTATTGACAAAGAGTCAAGAAAGTAGCTCTGTTTGTTTGGAATAAAAAAGTGAATTGTATCTTCTATTTCCATGATGTGGCCAACGAATCTCTGAGAACTCTCGAGTCCTGGTGCCTCGGGAGCTCTGCTATCTTCACTGAGTCTGTGACCGCTGAGCTGGAGGATAAATGTTTGTTTAGAGAATTCAACATAGGTGAACATAAGATATGATCCTGAGTTGTAACATTATTTTATACTTGTAACTATTTTCTTGCAGTTTGGGTATAAATTTGAATAAAAACCTACAAAACCTGTTTTTTCGAAAGAGTTTATTTTTACATTTTTGAAAATACAGCCCATGATATAATATATTTGCATGTTTTTACGCATATCTGTACCTTGTTACTGTCAAGGATGAACTTCAATGGGGTCTCTGCTTGTGTATATTTGTTCTAATAAAAATTTTATATGTATATATGGAAAGATGAATATGATTTATTGTCATTTTCAAGGTAGTCCGTTTGTTTTTTCTGTTATTTGTTGGAAATTAAATAAAAGTTGGTTTAGGATGGAGAGTGGTTTGATAATTACCTAAGATGTGTACCTGTTTATGCACAAGGGACCTGTCTTTCTGTTTTTGGCATTTTTCTTAGCATAATGTAAACTATTCAGTTATTCATGTGTGTTCATATATCATATATTTATTTAGTCTTGTCCGTGATGGATGGGAACTGAATTTAATTGACCATTATTTTCTCCAACCTGATATATGCAACCAATAAGCTGTATTCTATTCCAAATACAAATTTGTTGCATGTTTAACAAATGTGTTTCTGTAAACGAATTAAAAAAAAACCAGAAAACATTATTTCTTGGTTAGTATACGTTCATAGCATGGATTCCTTTATTTCTTCTGGCAACTTTGGGGGAGGGGGTCAGAAGACAGCTTATATTCTTGACCTTTGCATGACAAGAAAATCATTGAAGGGAGCTTAGCGGCCACGTTCAAGTCCATCCCCTCATTTCACAGACGATGAATTAAAAATTGTGTCCTTCCAGTGATCTACAAAGAGTTAGTGAGGGAGCTGAGACTGAAGGATGAACTCTTAAATTCACTAAAAATTTAGGAACTATTGAGCACCTGTTATTTTCCAGAAACTGTGCTCAGTAGTAGGGATAAAGTGTCGAATACAATATTTGCTCTCTAAAGGACTTACCATGTCATAGGAAGAACATGCTAACACATGATTAAAATGCAGTGTGGCTGCTAACATCATAAAAAGAGACAACTAGATTAAAGTATACATCACACTTATGAAATAGTATTTCCTTCCAAAGACTAAAAACTGAATCTAATTTGACTGGAAATTATCAGGAAATACAGGGAACAGGTGCACATATTAACATCACAAGAGGTAACCAGCAAAATCCCAACTATACCAAAATCTACAGGATAGAAAAGCACTGTCTCTAACAAATATTTGAAAGAGAAAAAGATGTCGGGGGAACCTAAAGATGAAAAGAAACTTAAGAAACATATCAAACGCTTGTAACAAATGGATTTTTGTGAGACAAATTATATTTTAAAAAATTATATAATACAAAATTAAAATGCAAGCACTATTAAATACAATATTAAGGCATTATTAGTTTTTTTTAAGGTTGTGATAATGGTGATTTGATTAAATTAAAAAACACTGTCTTTTAGAGATAAATAATGAAGAATTTACGCATAAAAAGATATGGTGTCTGGGCTTTGGTTTAGAATAATTAGAGTGGGAGGGTGAGGAGGTGAGTGGGTTTATTGAGGACACCAAATTTACCTTGAGTAGTTTATCTTGTAATAAGTAATAGGTAATAAGTACCTGGGAGTGGATTACATCTCTTCTTTGCTTAATGACTTGTTAATTGTGCCTGAAAACTCTGCTGCTACTTGAGAAATAGTTAAATTTAAAAAAAATATTTCCAGTAATTTTAATGGAAAAATCAATATATTCCATCCCACCAAAGAGATCAAGATTGTTCAAGGATTCATGCTAATTAAGACTATTAGGTGAATCTAGATCCAAATATAATTATCCATTTATTTACCAAGCTTGGAAATGTTTCAGATTTACTTGCATATTATTTATTATTGTATTTTTGTGAGTAATGGCTACACATCTTTGCTTCTCTCACAGTGATGAAATCATCACAACTTGCGTTGTCAGTTTCTGTGAGAAGGGTTTTTTTCTTAAAGGACCAGCATGATTTAAAAAATAGAAGTTCAATTTTATTTTTTTCCAAGAATTTTTTAAGTTTCCTTGTTAAATTTATATATGTGCTTATCAGTTCCCATAGCTAATCTTAATAGGAACTGCAAATTTAAATTTAACAGACTTTGCACTCTTTTCACCCTCTCCAGAAGTAGGAAAAGTGTACTAATGAGTTTTATCAGAAAATGCTTCACATTCACACGCCAGTCTAGGCTCATTAAACTTATGGGCAAGCTCGGGACCTTTGAGGTAGCTCTTCTCTGCAGGACATAAGCTGTCTCCCCAGGGCCTGAGCCCTGCATAGGGCTCTTTGTCTGGGTACAAAAAGCCACCCTCAACTGTAGAACTAGCAGCAACTTCAACCAAGGGTCAAAAGTAAATAGAGACATGCCTGTGAATAAAACCCCTGCATGGAAAACAAAGCTAAAATGAACCTCCGAAAACCAACAGTTGTCCATTCTAAGCAATTTTTTCTGGGTCTTATGCTATTCTGCAGATGTGAGATGTACAGATGGCTGTTTCCTTTGGGGAAGTTCTTTCTTGTTAATTAACTGTAACATCCACATCTAAAGTTGGAGTCGGAGGCATAGCTTTCTTGTGGCTTCAGAGTCTTCGTAGTTGCTTCCTACTGTGCGTGTGAAGGGGTTATTGATGGAAGAGAATGCACTGGTAGGTGCAACATATCAGGTGTTTAAGAAATACGGGGAAACAGTAATATAAGGAATATAGAACTGGATCCTTGTTGCTGGAGCAATCAGTAATTTGGAGACAGACAATAAAAGGTTAAACACCAATTAAAAGCAACTGTAAAAGCCAGAGGACCCCCTTGGAGGAATTTTAAGACTTTTCACCTCTTTCCGCTGGAAGGCAGAAGAAAGTTTAGGATCAGGAATTAATTCTGAGAGGATAGAGCTTCGGAGGAGGTAGGATCCTCAGCCTCAATAGCCCTGCTAGGCCAAGGTTGGGACTCTGATTCAGGAGTACGACATAGACAACAGGAGAGGGACATTTCGGTCAGTGCACTTAAAAATCTTGAATCCCCAATGTGTCAGTTATTTATTGCTATGTAACAAACTACCCCAAAACTTACAGGCGTAAAGCAATAACACGTATTAACTCACAGTTTCTGTGGATCAGTAACTCTGGTCTTTGGCTGGTCTGGTCAAAGCTGGGTCTTTGGGTTAGGGTCTCTCACATGGCTGCAGATAGGCGTGAGCTGAGGATGCAGTCATCTCAAGGACGGACTAGGGAAAACATTCTCCTCCAAGCCCATTCACATTGTTATTGGTGGGATTCACTTTCTGTGGGCTGTTTGAACTGAGGGCCTCAGTTCCTCATTATCTCTGTCTGGAGGGTGTCTTCAGTTCCTTGTCATGCGTGCCTTTATCATGGAGTAGGTCACAAGAGAGGCAGCAAGCGATCAGAACCAGAGAGGGAGAGAGCACACCAGAAGGAAGTCACAGTCTTTTTAATCTAATCTCCAAAGTGACATCCTATCACTTTTGCTGTATTTTTTAAATTAGAAGCAAGTCACTGGGTGCAGCCAACACTCAAGTTAGATGATTACACAAGGCGAGGAATACCAGGGTGTAGGGATCATTGGAAGCCATTTTAGAAGCTGCCTATCATACCCAGATACCTCCAAACCATCTACGTATGAAGAAGTGGTCCACTCTTCATGTTAAAATCGATTGTTCCCCCATTGTCTGAAGGTGATGCAGAGCCCTCTGCCTTGCAAAACAACCTATGCCCCACTCAGGATTCACCCCATCTTCCCTCCTGTCCACCTGACTTATAATGACAGTTAAAACACACCATAAGTCGGCTAGGGAAGTGCTAGGAATAGTAAGAGAGGAAAGAGACTATATCCCAAAGAAACCATAAGACCTAGCCAGCTTGTGTGGGCAAGAGCCGGTGAGCACACGTGGGCTGGATCCTGAGGTTGCTGGTTCATGGGGAGTGAAACATAAAGTTGTAAAAGGGAGAGTTTGTCAATATGAGAACATCGTTCTCCTTGGTAAACATTTAACTCTCTGGGAAGGACCAAGGAGACCAGACTAACTGGTTGGTAGGATGGCTCTTGGAAGCTTGAAGAAAGTGATATCCATAGTAAGTGTGAGATCACAAGTTCAAATTACCTTTGCAAATGCTGCAAGAAGATATGGAAAGATTCAGAGAGTGTGTATGCTAGAGTGGATATATTACTGGGCAGAAAACCAGCCAGATAACTACGCTGCATGAGAGTGCCTGAAGGAAACTTCAGATACTAAAGCCATAAGAAATTCACTAGTGAGAAGGGTGTCACTGAGAAGCTCAGTGTAGGCGTCCAGCTCTGTAGGCTTGGCCAGTGGTAAGGAATGCCAATACAGAACTGGACTCCATGATGGCAATGAGAGTAACAGGATGGCAAAGTAATAGTGCTCAGGTGTCAGCACTTAACTTCAGACGCAAGGTGGGCCCAATCATTGTGATGCACGGCAAAGCTGGAATAGCAGCCTTCTGCTTGACCCACAGAGGGCCATGGCCATAATTAATGAGAACACAATATCAGCCAGAAAAGGTTTCGGCCAATCTATACATCAAAAGAAATCAAAGATGGATGATTAAGAGCTGACTCAATAAGAACTCATGATCCTTTGCTCAGTTTCCACGTCTGAGCCAGGTTTCAGATTCTGAACCCATTGATTAAAGGAGAGGCTGGGTTCCCAAGAGGAACGAATTTGAAACATCATAGCAAGTAGATATGGTAATGTTTCTGCCAGTTCTCCAGAGGAACCTACCACCATTTACTAGATCAGTGGTGCACTGGAGAAAAGGAAATTTCCAAACATTTGGAGAGCTGGATACAGGGTCCTAGTTGACATTTATACCTGTCATCAGAGCTTCCCTCTTGGAGTGAAGGTATACGGGGGTCAGGTGGTCATTTCTACTATCTCTGCATCTGTGCCTGGAATGGGTATACTCTGTAATTGATAGAAACCCAACATCGGTCCCTTGGCCAGTGGTAAAAGCTATTATAGCGGAGAAAGACAAGTGGAAGGATCTGAAACTGTCCACACCCCTCCTTCCCGCAGGCAAAATAGTAAGTCAAAATGATACCACATCCTAGAGGAAACAGCAGAGATTAGCCTTAAAAACCTAAAGGATGCAGGAATGAAACACATATCCCAGTCAGGGATATGTTAAATTTACCAGCCAGGCATTGAAAAAAGCCAGACAGGTCCCAGAAGGTGACAATGGACTACTGAGACTGCTAGCAAGTAGGAACCCACCGCAACAGCTGTGCTGGTGTTGGAACAAAGTGACATGGTCTCAGGTACGTAGAAAGCAACCACTAATCTGATCAATGCGATCTTTCTCATTCCTGTTCTATAGAAGGAGCAGAAACAGTTCGCATTAACTTGAGCCATTTATGGTCTTGCATCAGGGCTTATCCCCACCCCCCACCCATAAGATATTCTAAAGGGAGTGGGATGATTGG